ATATATCTATGATCTCTAATAATTAAAATCTCACAATTAAAATTTTATTTCACTATAATTAATATGTGCTTAAAAGGACACGCATTAGTTTTAAGACTCTGTACAGTATAGTTGACTTTTTTCCGATATATCTATGTTTGCGTTATAGGAATATTTTCACAAAGGCGTTAGAAACTCTCAGGCTACTGTTTGGCGAGCCGAAGAATCAAATAGAAGGTTTGTCGGTTGCGAGTGAAACTACACAAGAGGAAATCCGAAAAGTATCTAGTTGAATAGTGATAATATGAAGCATGTTTCGTACACTTAGGTTTTATTGTAAAATATATGACGATATCGTCTGCGGCGTTTCAAACCGATTTCACACGATGAATTTATTCACCAAACAGGTTTTTAATCTAAAACATTGCAACATAGAAGTATACTTGATTAAACTTGCAATTGTTTAATGATAAACGATTCGGCATATAAATGCAACATATTTGCATTTGTTATGAAATTAACGGACAAATGAATAAGTCGTTTGGAAATTGTGTTTGACGCCTGTGTTTGAAATATCTTTGTACAGTCTTTGGCATTGTTACTTAAATAAATTCTGCTTTTTTTATATTGTTCGTATTAGGTATTAAATTTATATTATAAAGTGTATAGCGTTATTTAATATTTGTATTGTTTAAATTCATATTCGAAACGCTAAAGTAATTGCTTTATCGATGTGTTCGAATCATCTTTGGAGTTAAAAAAGTAATATGTTTGACCACTTCAATCATCAGGTAATGATTCAATTAAAAGTAGTATCTCATGACAATTTCTAATGTATAAATTTCAATAAAGGGTAATATTTGCAGGAAATTCAGAAAAAAAACAGATGATGAAACGTCATGCTCAAATTTATCTGAATCTGAATTACAACGTTATTCGATATATCGTACGATAAGACCATAGGTTATACCGTGTTCCGCCATATTGCCGTTGAGTAAGATTACCGCCAATTTGTCTACGTAGAGCGTATATGCGTGGCGTCGGTTTGGAGCATTAGTTTGGAGAGTGGAAACGAGGTTAGTTGATAAGTATCAGTTTTTCTATATTGTGAACGTAATTGAGAATTGTGTTATTCACGGCCTGGATGATTTGGTGATGCTATCTTGAGTACGATAGCATTGTTCATCGCGATGTCCCGTCAATATTGTTTTCTGTGTGCGAGCGATGAAGGCGTTTTCTTGGTTGTCACGCCGGACAATTTTAATATATTCAATAATCAGCTCGAGACGTGTTTGACAACTAAGGTAAGTCATCAAATGTTTCTCAGAGAGTGTTACGAAAATAGATACTTTGTGAGGTATAAAAAATTTGTGCATTAACAAAATCAACCAGTCTCGATTGTATTTCATGTCAGCAATGAGCCATAACTTTTTTTCTTAGCTGTTTTATTTTACACTTTTTGCGTTAAAAGACAAGTTTCTACTTAGACTCGAGAGAAAGCGGTGAGGCAGAAAGGTCTACCAAATGTCCCTGAAATCTGTGAATTCCTATTTATTTCTCAGCAAAGCAGAAAAAGTTTTACCGTGAAACAATTGAAAAACAATGATTAAATTATGGTATGAGGTCTGAAAGAATGATTATTGTTTACGTAATTCAAATGGTTTCAAATGGAAATGCTATTTGGTTTAGGCTTGGATTGGAGATGTATCAGTTTATAGGTTAAGTCAAGTTGATTTTTTGTTTCTTTTTCAATTCTTTTCGAGACAGATATATTTATTATATTTCGGTTCGAGATTTTTAATAAGATGGTTGTAATTTGGAATTCTGTTAAAAATTATACTTTTATAATATGCATTAAGTGCATCGTATGTATGCTTGATTGCGATGAAAATGTTGACATATCGCGTCATCTGTGTTCGAAGCTTGTAAGTTCCGTGCAAAGACGACATTTATAGATATTATTACGTTGCAACATATACGCCGGATCGTTTCAATCTTTGGATTATTCAGAGAAAAAAGGAAGTTTTTGTATGATAAATTATCATATTTAATATTAATTTCGTCACTTTATCAAATGGAATATTTTTTTTGCTAAGATTACGTGAAGTGTATCTCTTATCTCCTATCTCACATTATTTGTAATGTGCATGCAGTGAGTAAATGAATTATTTGCTATATTCTGTGCAGAAAACTTATAATATTTAAATTGACACTATTTAGTTGTATCTCTTGGATTTAATTAAATATTTGAGAGATTCAGCATATTTATGTGTACTTGATACATTATATATATATATGTATGTATGTATGTGTGTATGTATGTATGTATGTATGTATGTATGTATGTATGTATGTATGTATGTATGTATGTATGTATGTATGTATGTATGTATGTATGTATATATATATTTGTAATTGAATATATATTGTGTGTTATTGCTATATTTT